AGGAAGGAGAAAAAAGAGGGGGGGGGGGGGGGGGGGAGAGAAGGGAAAAAGAAAAAAAAGGGGTGGGGGAAAAGGAAGAAAATATAATCAGGAATACGTAAGTACAATTGACAAGTGCAACCAGTCTCCCCCCTTCACCCCTGTGACATCAAAAGTCCTAAATAGGGGAAACACACTGCAATTATCCCCCCGAGACCTCTAGACGCATCCAGAATTAGGAATAACTTTCTTTTCTCGCAAAATAGAGATATCCCAGAAAATTGACAGTGACAAGATGATTCACAGGCTACAACATATTCAACACCCGTGTTAAATTCATCTGCTCCCGGAGTTGTGGCCATTAGAGAGGTGACCTGCATGGGTGACATTTAAGGTAAACTATTTAATTTCATCCAGTTATTTCATCATAAGCCCTTTCCAAAGGGGTATGAGGACAGAAAAAAGGATTAAAAAAAAATCCCGATGCACTGGGCTGAAATACATTATAGGCATCCATGCCCTGAAATCCCCCGTCGCTCTGATAGACTCGTACCTGAGCCGCCTCTATTAATGGGCAGATTTAAACACATTTCGGGTAGAGCGAGAACAACCTGCCAGTTATGGTTAGATAAAGTGGCTGAGGCTCCCGAGAAACTTTTCAACTATTTAAAAACCTCTCAAAATGTTTATTTTTAGGAGAAAGGGAATTCTCTTCTAGGCCAGCTATCAATGACACGTAAAAAATCCTCAGGAAACCAGAGTGCACTTCCAATTTAATGTGAGCTCGGATGACACCGCCTTCTTAGAAATTAGCATTCTCCCTCCTAAGATTTCTAAAATAGCCAGCAAAAACCCCTGCATTTAGGCTGCAATCTCTTTCTTCTGCTCGGAGGTGTACAATATTCCCAGGAACAAGAGACAGACACAACTATCAATTCTGCTTTGTCTCTGCAAAATGTTACAGGACAATCCGTGCCCTGAGCCTGACCTGCAGATGGCTCTTAAAAAAAAAAAAAAAAAAAAAAAAATACATTCCCCACTCCAGCTCACTGCAACCAAAGTCTCTACCTCACCACCACCAAGAAAAAATAAATTTATTTGGGTTTTTTTTTAACCATAATTTCAGGGGCTTGGCTGAACCAACCATTTCGAGTCTCATCTGCGGCACCATAGAACTGCAACTATTTATACAAAGCCAGCAAAGTATTACAATGAACACAAGGCCTGGGCGTTTGAGAGCCCGGTTTTAGAGGCTGAAATTGTAATTAAACTGCGAAGAGAAATGGACGCCAAGATTGGTCTTGACACTAATTACCAGAAAGAAAGACATTTATGCAAATTCACCAGAAGCCTGAACTTCAGCAGTACTGAAACGGAGGAGGAAGAAAGAGAGAGAGAGAAAGAGAGACAAAAATTACCTTCTCTAATTCCAACAGATGAAACCTTAATACTTGTATGGCTTGAATCATCTGCAAAGATACAAACAACACGAGTATTTATCTCATTCCTGGATTTGGGGATATTTCCCACAGCCGCCCCTGCCGCACTTTGTAGCTTGACTTTTCTCTAGTAGTAAATAAAAAGTTGTTTTGATTTATGGCAATAACACTAAAACTTAATAGCGGTGGCTTTGTGCGCTGTTTAACGAGACGCGATCTAGAGTTAACCAAAAAAAAAAAAAAATCCCTATTGCAACGAAGCAACTAAATTATACGGATCATAAACATTTCTTTAAAAAAAAAAACAACCACCACCACTCTAAACACCATCGCTGGCTCCTCGCTTTGCGAAAGCGAGAGCAAGACTCCTACAGCGGAGGCAAAATATTTGTTTATCCTTAAGGGAGGGGGGGGGGAAAAAAAAAAGAGAGAAAAGACCTCATTTTCGGCGAGTTAGCCAAGGGTGCATCTCCAGCCACAGCAATCCTCTACATTTCCCATCGAGCTGCTTAAAAGGTGCGTGGAGGGGCTGGCTACGGTGTGGATAAATCCACGCTCCCCTCGGGCAGGCGAGCTCGCCATCGAGCTCGCAAGCTCCCCTTCGGATGGGGCTTTCTTTATGTATATCCTTACAGGATTTTTTTTACTTCCACGCAATTACCGCACCGTCTTTACTTGTAATTACAAAAATCATCATCATAATAATAATTTAAAAAAAA